CTAAAACACCAATCACATTCTTGTTTCTGCCACTCAACGTATTGTCGAATCATAACAAGTTTGATTTCACTGATTTGGAAGTTTCAAACAAGAAACTACTTTATGTGGAAGCAAGACGTGACACTCCGCTTAACTACGACTAGTTGTGAAATTATTGTAGCCAGTTATGTTGTGGAAAAACTGAATAAGCCTTCGCTATAATCTTCATTTGAAGACTTATGCCTGAAGCATATCAAATGGAAGTACCTCACTGCCGAGGACTCCATGGCTCTTTGACTCGCTATAGACCGTTTCAAATCATGCAAAGATGAATTCTTGCACGAAACAAAGCATGATTGAAACCTTTACCTCCATGAATAGGTACAAATTATGAAGTTTATATCCAATCAAATTTTGACTGGAAGAAAATCTTTCTCGTCTATCTATATCTAAATTGCTCCTGAAGTAGCAGTATAGAGAGCGAAAGTACCAAATTCTCGGATCTGATTACTACTATAATTATGAGAGAAGGGTACCCCCATCAATTCGGCTAGAAGGTACCGAATGGTATAGACCTAGTTTCGGCTAGAGTTTACCGAATGGTGGTGCCCTGCTTTGGTAGAGATACACCAAAAAGCATGCTCTACTTCGACAAAGGTGCACCGAAGGGCATGCTCTTCTTCAGTAGAGGTGCATCGAATAGTATTGCTCTGCTTCGGTAGATGCTTATTGAACAGACCCTTCCAATTTCGACTAGAGCTTACCGAAGCCAAGTCTGAGTCTGTCTCTCTCTCACAATCTCATTTCAAGTTTGTTTCACAATATATGGTAGAATGTGGGTCTGCTAAGAGGTGGTATCATGCCTAAAGCATGATCTTTGGCACCTAAGACCTAAACACTTCAAAAATAAGGGATAGTATTCTCGAACCTCAACCCTGCAGAATCTAATTTCGTTTTGAAGGAATAGATCATTGATTATGCACTATTCTGTGCTTCTACCAATGTTGTTAAGGTGTACAATTCCCGTAGTCAATCCATGAGACTAATTTTGCTCCACCTAACACATTTGGCGAGCGAAATTTGACATGGAAGGACATATTGGCCAAACCTCTTAGTACATTTTGGTTTACTTTGTGAACAATTTCTTTTGTTCTCGGATTTAAGATTGGTGTTTGGATGACACTATTATTCTCAAATAAGAGTTAATTAACAAAAATTACTACATGTGACAAATCCAATTAACACATGCTCAGGTATGTTTTGTGGGAAGTTAGTTGTCTGGTTCTATGCTAATGTCATACCTAATCATCCCCTAACAAAAGCCTTATACTCACTTCGTTCCGAAAGAAAGCCTTTTTTGAGCTTTAAGGATATTCGAGAAAACTATTACCATATTGAAACCAATATAGAAAATGGAGTAAAATTTCTTTGCACTTCCAACGAATATAGCCAAAAGCATATTCTAGAGAAGATGGAACGCTTAACGAGTGGATTACATCCATTCAAGCCCAACGTATGGCTGGCCAGAAGCCTGAGATTCCAAAGGAATTTTTGTTGTGGATGTACATTTGGGATATCTAGGACGATCCGTGATGCACCGTTTTGGGCATCCTTTTACCATAAGTAAAGACATCATACCTAAAAGCATATCATGCCCTAGCACCTCCATATTTTCTACAAAGGATTCAAGGGGACATTTGTGGACTGATTCAACCATCCATATGGATCATTTAGATATTTTATGGTATTGGTTTATGCTTCTACACGTTTGTAACACGTGTGGCTATTGTCCACAAGCTGCCTTCTCCACACTGATGGCTTAGATTAACAAGCTTAGGGCTCACCACCCTGATTATCTGATCAAATCTATTCGATTGGATAAATTGGAGAATTTACAGCGAAAACTTTTTATGGATATTGCATATCGGTTGGGTTTTGAAGTTGAACATCCAATACCCCATGTTCATACTCAGAATGGCCCAGCAGAAGCATTCATTAAATGCTTTCAAATGATTACGCAATCATTGGTCATACATACCATGCTTTCAATCTCTAGTTGGGGCCATGCAATATTGCAAGTAGGCATGTTGGTCCGCCTGAGGCCCGTCATGGCCCAACCCTATAAAGCGCGTGTCAGTTGGTTACCAGATACTAACCCGACATATGGCATATGCGCGTCTTTGGTTGTGCAGTCTATGTGGCATTTGCGTCGCCCTTACATAAAATAAAATAAAAAGTCCTCAAAGAATGATGGAAATCTATGTCGGTTATGATTTTCCTTCTAAATACTTGTTACTTAGAACCCTTGACATGTGATTGTCACTTTTATGAGATAGTCTTCTCGTTGTTAGGGGGAGATGAGAACGTCAATGTTCCTAAAGAATGACGCGAATTATCGAGACCACTATGTCTCATCTCAATCCCAATCTAGATCATCATAGTATAACCAGACGTTTCCTTTGATCTAGCAAAAGTGACAAGATCACATAAACCAGCTGCAAAAGTGCCCGCAAAGATGAATGTACCAAATGTACAACAGACCTTCATCCCCGAAAGCAGGAACGCCACTACTGTGGCCGACCCTTGTACATTGGCGACTAACCAATCAATATGTCATGCACCAGAAGCATGGCAGATTACTAGGTTTGAAGGATTCACGTCCCCAAAAGGGAAGGAACGTGGCACAAACAAATCCGCCCCTCGAGCATTGTCTCAATCTTTTCCATCTCATGAGATTAAATCTGAATTACTCCCGAGACTTGAAGGTCTTGGTCCAGTATATTAGTTTGGATGAGATATGGAATTGGAATAAGATTATCATAGATGATGTTTCATTTATATGGTAACTACCAACATAAAAGAAAAGTGACGATAACGAACCGCGTTCCGTTGATTAGTGTCAACGTAGAACTGATTGGTCAACTGGAAGAATCAATCTATGCCGAATGAGATGAATGAAATAATGTGAATGACACATTATGGTTCAAGGTTTCTCTCATATGCCATGTGATTGATTGCAGCATTACAAACATGGTTGTAGTATCTCTGGGGTCTTGATACGAAACCTACATGGAGTTTCAAAAGGACTTACATGTATTGATTCAAATAGTTCTAGACCACAAGAACGCCCTTTTGGTTTTGATGAGGCCTTCACTTTGCGGATACAAAACTATCTTGACGGATATGGTATACCCGTCTAAGTGAATATTTGATCAGTTAGGGATATATGCACCCGTGTGTACAAAATTCAAAATTGCTAGAGTTGAGAAAAATGATCCGCACCTAAAGTCGGACTTTAAGATGAATGATCTTGGGAAAACTCGACATTACCTCGACCTAAAGTTTTGAGCTAGTTATAATGGTATTCTGGTCCACCAGTTAAACTAGACCCAGAAGGTGTTACGTCCAAGTATACCCTGATCGTCTATACACCAGATGTAAATGAGACTTTTACAGAGGATATGGAGCATAAGGTTCCATGTTGGAACGTGAGGCAACCATATCTAAGTACAATTGGCGTTTGTTATACTTAGCTCAATGCACTAGATCAGACATCTTATGTGCTGATAATCTTTTGGCATAAAGCAGCACTACGCCTACACGCCATCACCAAATTGGTGTTAAAGACGTTTTTCTGTTACTACGGATTTGGGCTTATCTATCCCTATGCATCTCAGAATAGATCACACCCTCTTGATATTCAGAATGATGCCTACCTTATGGGATTCTCTAAATCAGACCATTTATATGACCGCACAAGGTAAATTCCCGAATGGTTATGTCTTTACCATTAAGGAACACCACAATATCTTAGAGGTCAACCAGATAAAACTTTTGTTGTGAAACATTTGAATCGTTCCAAGACTCATTTAATGTCATTACATGAGAGATATGGTCGAGAACTCTTGTTGAGCATATTCGAAGTTTATGCGTTTTTCATCTATTGTTGAGTCCCAACAACAATCTATGAAGACAACATCGTATGTATCGACCAGATCATGATACATCCAACAAGTCAACGCCAAGCATATTGTGTCTACATCAGCATAAGCATCAGAAGATTGAACTCAAGCAGTCCGATCCCAGACAACATTACCGACCTCTACACAAAGTCAATGCCGAAGTCTACCTTCCAGAAGCTTGTTCGATGAATTGGTATACGTAACTTTCTCATTTGTGATGTTTGTAGTTTCATTTGAAAACTTCTGTCAAACTCAGGGGGAGAATTCAGAAGTATACTCACTTGACCTTAATGTACTCTTTTTTCCTATGATTAGGAGCATTTTTTCCACTGGGTTTTTGCTACCTAACTAGGTTTTGATGAGGCACCCATCCTGGGTTGGTCATACCCTTGTGTATGTTCTACTTACGTTCTGAAGACGTATAGTTTTGACTTAATGCAACTTCTCACTTTTCTCCTTTAACTATGGGCTTTTGTCCCACATTGGATTTTGTCATAGCAAGGTTTTGTGAGTTTTACTACCGTGCATTCTTCCGTTTGTTTTAAGACTCAAATATCTACTTGTGCTGACTAGACAAGACGACTTCATCAATTGCTTCTACATTTGCCTGAAGATCTGATGCGCCATCTTTTTGAGTATTTGCACACTCAAGGGGGATTGTTGTGACATATGTTCTAATACATGTTGTGATTGTGTAAACTCTAAGCAGAGATAGATTAGGAATCCTTTAGGATCTAGAAGATCTTTCCTAATAGACTTTGTATTACTTGAAGAGCAAGTTTCTCTCCTCATTACTATAAATAAAGGCACAAGGACTGAGGAATTAACATACAATTCCTGAAATCCATTCTCCACTCTCTCTCTATGCCGCACCCCTCGGTTAAATATAGGCCACAACAAGAGAAGTGATTTTCACTCTTCTTAACCTCTCACACACTAGTCAAACATCTCTCTTTGTTTCTAACAATCAGATTGAATAAATCAAACAGAATTAACAGACGATTAAACAGGAGTGTGGGGAGATCAAGAGGAGTGAGCGGTTACATTTCCCAATCAAAATTATTCCAATTCTCAGGTTCAACTCACATGTATGGGCGGGTACAAAATACATTTGTGATGAACTCGATTTCCACTCAAGTTACAAACGATACTAACTCTTGGTTATGGGAACTTTTAGGTGCAGAATCCCCATCAGAAAACACAAATCATCCATACAGGAAACTGAAAATCTATATATCAAAACAGTGTCAATGATATTAGAAACGGAAAAAATCTCTGAAAAGCTAAAATTGATAAAAGATCCGATACAGTTTCGAAAAAGAAATCCACGATAAAATTGTAAACTAAAATTATTGCCTAAGCTGCACTCTGCTTCTTCAGTTTTGCAAGTTCATTTCTGACAAGCCCAGCTTTCTGCAAATGAGGAAAAGGGATTTAATTTGACAGAGTTCAACATGACAAAGATGAACAATTCCAACCGTCTACAAACATTCCAAACTAAGCCACATAAGGAAACATGCGATTTTACAGAAACAAATACGTAGTTTGAACTTAGTAGTTATTAATGGCAAAATAACCAACCTTAATCTTAGCCAGCATGAGCTTGAACCGATCAAAGTCATTAAGAGCCGCCCTTCTCTTCTGAACAACCAGTTTTCTACCCCACGAGCTGTTCTCCCACTTCTTCTTCACATCTGCCAACATGTAAACAAATATTTAGAATAAAACTATGACATGAAAACAAGATTATTACTGTTTACGAGTTGTTGGGCTTACCAGCAGTCTCCATGGCAGCAAGCAGTTCCTTCTTCTTGGGGACCCTCTTGATCTCGATTTTGATGTCAGTCAGAGAAAGTCTCTTGAAATTCATTTGGGACCTCACCATATCAGGGGCATCAACCAGAGCCTACAGAGACAATTACTAGAGGATCAAAACACTGACGTCAATGCAGAAGAAACATAAAAAAAAAAGACAACCAATCATACAATTACATATGGGCAGAGATTGAACTGGTTCTGATTGAAGCCCAATCCAACACCAATTAAAAATTAAACAACTCAAGAAAATTCGGGTCAGATTGGATTGGTAATCACGTTATAATTTGCAGTAAAACGAAAAGTTTAGATAAAAATTTCTCACTGGCAAGTAGCAAAGTAACAAAATGCAAGGCCCAGAGGATAAGTTGTAAGAAATGCTAAAATTTAACCCTTCTAATAGGAAACTCAATGAAACAGATTTCCGTACATTAAAACTATAATTCTAAAGACATCACAACATACACCCGAGAAATTATGCACATAAAACACAATGGGAGAAGAAGAAATTCTAAATTTTCGTATTTCAATCCAAAACTCTTTCTTTACTAAAGAATCTATTATTCCATTAGTTCATTTTGACCTCATTTATATATCCAAGTACAACTCAAACAACACAGTAAAGGCTTACTGTTTACGGAATGGTTGAGTTTGTCTAAGATCGTTAGTTCGAGATTCCGAAAACAATGGTAAAAACTCAACTCAGAGCACAAAATATGCTTACTAGATCCAAAATACTTGGGGAAAAAACAAATACATGTAGCACTGAAGCTTCCGAACCATACCCAAATGAACCCCAATACAATTTCCCCCTATTTGCCCTCAAGTTTTGTACTCAGAAAAACAGAATGCGTAAAAAATTCAAAATTTACAGACAAATATTGAAATTTGATAAAATCAAATAATAAAAATAAAGTAAAATTGGAAAAAGGAAGGAGAAGGGTACCCTGTTCTGGTCAAGGACGTCGACGATGACGACGAGCTTCCCATAGTCCTCGCCGTAGTTGACGAGAGCCACCCTTCCGATCTCAACGTACCTCTTGAAAGGCTGTCCAAAAAAAAAAAAAAAAACAGGATGAGATCAAAGAAGAACAACGCAACAAAGTGGTTTCTAAAGAGTATACAGAGAAGATAAACGCCATGGATTAGACGAGAAAGCTCACCATTTTTCTGGTTCTGGTGTGACAGCTCTGGCAGTAGAGGAGGCGGAGCGGAGAAGAGCAAGTGTAGTCAAGGTCGGGGATTTAGGGTTTTGTTATTGTTATTGTGAACTAGAATTAATAATTTAAAATTGAGTCCGGTGAGTACGGTACCCTCAAATGATAAAGTATAGTAGCATATGGGCACATTAAAAGTGAATGAGAAATTTTTTTATTTTTATTTTTGAAATAGAAGAAGAGATGAAGAGATGAAGAGATGAAGAGAGTGATAGAGAACGTGGGAGTGAGAATTATTTTTTTTTAATTAGAGATATGTTAGAATTACATGTAGGTGAGGCTTTGAAAAAAAATAACAAAATTTGATTGTGTGAAATTACATTTCTGTCCTATATTTCTTATTCATGTTTTGTTTTTATTAGAGGGTTAAACTGATAATTTCATTGGATTTTGATTGACAATGAATGTTTTATTAATTAGCAGAGATTTATTCGAAATATATTTTGTAAATCAAATATTGTAACAGTTTTAAAATTTTAGTAATTTTATAAGATTAATTTTAAAATTCTAATAATTTTGCCACATTTATTTTAGAATTTATGCACTTTTGCAAGATTAATTGCTAAATTCCAACACTTCTGTAAGTTCATTTTCAAAATTTATTTATCCAAATATCAAAACCACAAAATTAAACACTTTTAGAAAAGACAATATAAAGAATAAAAAATAGAAAATCTCAATCATTCTCATAAAAGTAAGATTATAAAAGACGCTAAGTGCTAGTTAAGCGATGTGTTGGAGTCTAGCGCCTAGGCTTCTAGGCAAAAGCTAGGCGGACTAGATGGATCTAAGTAAATTATCTATATTGTATAAGTAAGTGCCAATTTATACTTAAAAAATACATAATTGTATTGGAATACATAAATTGCAAAGTAGAATGACATTTATCAAGATTATAAAGTATTAGAACATATTGAAAACATAGGGAACAAAAATATAATAAGCGTTCATCCAATTATTCCACAAGTTTCTTGTAGATGCAAATTTTTGCCTTCTTCTCCTTTGATGAAAATACACTACAAAACAATAACATCTAAGATCAAGGCCAAAAGTCTCACGCGTCCACGATGAATGGAGGGGGGGCTTTGGCCGAAGAATCTCCGATGCCAAAGTTTGAATTTGAGAGATAAAGTGTTTAGATAATTTTAGGGAGAAAATAGACTTAGGTTTTTTGAAGAAATATGAGGCTATATATAGGGGTGTGGCTAGCCCTATTTGGAGAAATAGGGACTGGCCACTTAAGATGGTGTTTTTAATATTATTGCAAGATATTATGTCAAATAATATCTTCTAATTAATTTGGTAATTAATCCCAATTTGAAATAAATAATTGGGAGTTACCTTGTGGGTGAGGATTTGATGAAGAGTGATGAGAGGGTTTTGAATAAATATCATTTTGATCACATTTGATCTCGATTGAGCCGTTATTGTCCATTGTATGTGCGTGGGAATCCCGGTGTGCTTCAAGAGTAATTTTGTCTTTTTCACCCGAAAGTCCACAGGTTGCCTCCATAATTTTTTTGATTATTTTTTGCTTCACATCTCTTACATTCTAGTGAAAAAAATATAATGCAACATGTAAGTTATCTATTTTCTGTCTAAGTAAGAGTCGTGACATAGGCAATGTGACAATGTGTCCCTAAAATTTCGTTTTTTTTTTTATTTTAATCGAGGGAATTGACGAAAATGCCTAGAGGCAAGGATTTTGATTTCTATTGACCATCGTCTAGAGAAATGTATGAATTATTCTTTTGGCGTATTTAAGCAGTACTCGTCGGTATGAACACATAGGCGAAAGTCGTTTACGAGTTCGGATTATAACGGTATAGTTACGAACGTTTGAAGTTGGTTATTTAAAGTTAATTAATCGGTTAAGGAGGACCAATTAGATAAAAGGTAGAAAAAAGACAGCAGCCCAATCAGAAATCAGAAAAGAAAAAAAAAAAAAGGAGAAAGCTCCCAGCTTACCTGTGCAAGCGACCACCCAACTTCCAAGGCCGATTCCGGCCAATTATGGTGGAATTTTTCAACGCCACCACCGCCATCTTCAAGCTCTCATTCCCCTCTACAAAATCCACCCAAGAACCACCTTGATTAACCTCTGTATGTGGCGGTTTGAGGCCACGAAAGTTGACGGTTCTCACGGTGCTCCGGCCACCCTTTTTTATTTTTCCGGCAAATCGGCAAAGCGATGGCCGATGCCACCACTTAGGCTTTGTAGCCCATCATACCAGGAGAAAAACCCAACCAACCTTGATCCTGTTGGACCACCGTAGACGACGAATCAACATCGGGAAGCTTTAGGCACCCACCGGCTTCATGGGCACAATTGACCATCTTCCGTCCACTTTTGGACTTCATCACAGGTATAAAAGTTATTCCACTCAATGAGATCTTCATTTCTGTAAATTTTGGTAATTTTTAGAAATAGTTTGATTTTCAAACGAGTCGGGGCGGCAGACCGCCACCCACAGTGGCACGTGCCAAGCGCATGGCCAGGGGGCCGTCGATGTTATTCTTAGGCTAATTAGATGTCTTGAGTTTAGTTTTGGTAATTGTATGACGTGGGTTGATTGTTTGGATCTAAATTCTCTACGTTACTTTAATAGGTCATTGTATGAATCGACGATCTGACCTTTGGATCGTTACCAAATTTTAATACATTATAGTACATAATATTTGAGGACCATAGGAACTTACGGATTGGGAATCCGATATACGGATCTTCCCATATTGGATTTGTAAGTTCATAAAATAAAATGTTGACCGCCACTTGGTTTTGGCAATTGACGGAGATCCGACTGTTGGATCATAATGAAACTTTAGAATGTTGTTCTAGAAGTATAATGTGGATCTTTGGAAGTAATAAATCGGAAATCTGTGATATAGATCTTCCAAATTGAATTATGTAGGGATGTGTTTTCTATAAATTATGTATTCTACCGGTAAGAACTTTGAGATGTGATTTGATAATTGTTCTAGGCGACGATGGTTCATGATGTCTCTATATGCGTGCTAGGAAGTCGTAGCACGGACTTCAGGTGAGTGGGTCTTTTCCTTTCTATCCTATATTATATATATATATATATATATATATATATATATATATATATATATATATATGATTGACAATTCCACAAACGTTTATAAATTGATTATTGCATATAATTACTGTGAATGCTTTGAAGTACTAATGTGAACTACGAATGGCTCGATCCTTGTTTAGGGTATGTAGGCAGTCTAACGAGACGTTAGATGCATCCACACAATAAATGAGACTAAATAATTGAGACAATAGCCTTGTTTAGGGAATTGAGTAATGTGAGGGACATTGGTGGAAAATATAAGATTTAACCTTATGATTTGGTGGTTAAATATTGGTCATAAATCAATGTGTGAAGAATCAGGAATTTGAAGTAAGGAAACGTAAGTAATGATAGTTAATTAAACTAGTATCTAGTTGGGCTTATCATCAATAATTATTCCCGAAAATAAGTAGTTCGGGAGTAGAGCGTTACGGATTATGCATTTTATGCCATATTATATATATATATGTATATATATATATATATATATATATATATATTTGGGAATACTATGTTATGGTTGAATTTTGATTGCATCATGGCATATTCATATGTATATTACCTGCACATAATCATTGTAAATGCTTGGAAGCGCGAAGGTGAACTCAGGACACACAGGTAAGTTTAGGTGAGTTTATGGTATTAGTTGAAATGATGGAGTTATGGCATGACTACATGTATGTTTTAGGCAACTCCGACCTTGTCATACAGGTTGCAATGGTAAGCAACTCCGACACTGTCATACAGGTTACCCATGAGTCGTATATATTACATTAGATGCAGTTATAGCTCATAAACCTACACCCCGGTGTTAGTGCTCCCGCCAGTGGCCATGGCACATTCCTTCACGTGATGTTCACCTCCCGCACCTTACGCTCACCTTGGATCCAAGGTAGGTGCACAAGCCTGTCGTACAAACCACTATAGGTGGTTCCGACTCGTAGGTGACTCGCGTTTATTCGCACACAGTCTTCACGTGATCGTAGCACTTGAGCGTACTTATTTACACCCAGTCCTATCGTACAAACCACTTAGGTGGCTTCAACTCGTATGAAGGGATATGTGATGAGCTATGGGTTCAGCTGTACAGGCCATAAGAGGTGGATCCGGCTGACATATTACTAGGATGTTGATTGATGAGATATGCATAAGTCGTACAGGTCACTATAGGTGACTCCGACTTATTGCTAGCTTTGATTGATGAGATATGGATAAGTCGTACAGGTCACTATAGGTGACTCCGAGTTATATACTAGCCTTGATTGATGAGATATGGATAAGTTGTACAGGTCACTATAGGCGACTCCGACTTATATGCTAGCGTTGATTGATGAGATATGGGGCTAGTTTGGTATTGCTGTGCTTTGAAAAAAAACTGCTGTGAGAATAAGCGGTTGTGCTGTGAGAATAAGCGGCTGTGAAATAAAGTAGCAGAGTGTTTGGTAAATTTTTTTGTAAAAGTGCTTTTGGAAAAAAAAGCTGTATTATAGTGTTTGGTAAACTTTTATGTAAAACAGCTATGACTGTGTGAAATGACCAAAAAGGGTATAATACTAGATGTGCTATTAATTTAATTTTCTTAACAAATAAAAGTGAATTATAATATACTTTATTTTTAAAAGAAAAATATTTATAAACTTTATCTTAAATATTAATTAGTATGACAAACTACTTCAATTGAAATATTTTAGACTGAATAGCTAGGATTCATTAGTACAATATTGTTAATGTACTTGAAATTAGTCTAATAAGATGCATTCATTAAACTTGCCGCTATTCTATTTCCTAATGCTTCTATCTCATGGAATCCTTCAACTTGATAATTTTGGTATACTTCATCATCATCATCACTATTATCGCTCTCTTCACAATAGTCCCTGGGGTCATCAAAATGACGATCACGTTCAGAATACCTCCGTATGTAGTTATGAAGAGCCATTGTAGCAATGACAATCTTCACTTTCATCTTTTCTTACAAATAGCCACTGCAAAATGAAAATTGAGGAATTTAGAAGGTTTGTTCAATTTCATACCATTCAAAAAACAAAATTTTGGTCATATACCTACTTCATATAAGAAAGTACATGGATATGTCAAACAAATCATATCAATACCAATATCTGAAAGTGATGTAATTGAAAAACTTTAGTGGTTAACAACAAATGACTAAATAAGCATTTAGGTCCACATACTTTTTCCTTTTATTTGGGGGAGGGGAATGGTGAGTGACAAACTCTTGCCATGTTGATGCAGCCCAAAAATGGGCACCACCAAGGAAAAAACAAGCAGACAGAAATATTGCACCACATGTGAATCATTGCTCATATAGTTTAAGTGATCATAGCAAAATTCAAAGTAAAGCACAACTAGTGTGGTTCTCCAAATAAATTAACTAGGAATTAAAAGTCACGTTGGGCTGCAGAACACAACATCTAAAACTAAATTAACCATAAACCATAACTTTCTTAAACAACTGGCTTCATAACAAAGGTTCACAACATGAATGTGTTAGTTTTCAAAAAGTATAACACCAATATTGAGCTCTCCATTAACCTAACTATAGAAATGTGAACTTTGATTTTCATTTACCATCGTATCCATACCTTCCCCACCAAAACTTCACACTGAGTTAATATAGGCAGTAAATATTAATTATTTACATACACACAAACGCAAACAACAGTTGGCAGATCAAATTCACATTTCCACATTGAAATTCACAATATTTACCCTAAAAACATCATAAAGTTCAATCACAAACAAAGAGAGGTGAGCCTGTTCAATGTCAACCCCCATTGGGAGATGGGCTTACAATTGTAAGGCTTCCAAATTGTAAGATGAGTAAGGTTTGAGGAAAGACCCTGTTCGAGAATGGGTGTCAAACCGTTGCAGTAAGCAATTGACAATTTCTCGAGAGGGTTAAGGTTCATGCCATGTGGAAGGGTGTCCAATTTCGAGCAACTGGCCATAGCAATGTAAAAAGGGTTGGTGGCTCTTGTTGGCAACCCTCCGTTGGGGAAGGAAACAAGTCTTCCACAATTTCGAAGATAGAAAAATCGCAGACTGGTAAGGTGGCATAGGCCCTTGGGTAGGGATTTAAGGTTTTCACAATCATAGATATCAATGAATTCGAAACAAGTGTTATCCCGTGAGAAGCTATCGCTTATTGACTCCAGTTGGTCACAACAAATGCAACAAAATTAAGCACGGAAAACAAAAAACCCGAAATTTCGACTACCAACCTCATCGCCCATTCCCGCTTAACTAAGAAGATAATGAAATCTACTCCCCAGCGCACAAATTTTCTTGTCTCTCAAATTTTCTTGTTTCCTCCACAAACCCTAATTTTTTCCCTAATTTTTCCCCAATTGTTTTCTCCATCCCCAGTTTTCTCGACACCCATACACTCATCCCTTTGCTCTTTCCCACCCCTCTTTCACTCTCCCCATCCCCAAATTAAAAAATCCAAACAAATAAATAACAAAATTTTAGAGAAGAGAAGCTTACCAGAGGAAAGAGGGAAGGCGACGGTTGGCGTTGAGACCGACGGAGAGAGAGGAAAAGGAAGAGGAGGAGAAGAGGTGCAGCTGCAGGCAACATAGGAGAAAAGGGCGATTTCAGGAGGGTGTGCGAGAGAGAAGAGGGCGTGGATGTGTGATTTCTAGGAGGGCGTGCGAGAGAGAAGGCAGGGAGAAACGAGGGCAACATTGGTAATTTGAAAATTTCATTAAAAGAATTACTGTAGCTCCGTGTTTTGAAAATAAGCTGTTTTCTGAAGCTGCTATGTGCAGCTTCAGATCAGCTTAAGGATTTAGGCTTTTTTCACCCTCAACTTTGAAATAAAGCTGTTTTTCAAAGTTTACCAAACACCAAAATTGTTACTAGCTTTTTTTCACCCCAGCTTTTTTTTTAATCACCTCACTCCCAAACCTGACCATGGTTAAGTCGTACAAGTCACTATAGGCGACTCCGACTTATATGCTAGCATTGATTGATGAGATATGGATAAGTCGTACAGGTCATTATAGGTGACTCCGACTTATGTGCTAACGTTGATTGATGAGGTATGGGTGCAGTCGTACAGGTCACCATAAGTGACTCCGACTTGCATGCTAGTATGGGTTATTAATCACATGATTATTGATATTGCTGATGAAATGCTATGTCGTGGTATATTTATGGATTTACTAATGTGATACGTGGTATGATTTTTCTGGAAACTACATAAGTGTTGCAGCGAGGGGTTATAATGTTTTATATGGTTTCTATTAAAAATTTATTTCTAGGGCCACTCACCCTTGTTTTGTTTTCACCCTTCAGGTTTTATTAGCTTAACTTTCTTATCGTCGAAGATTCGTGGCGATTCTTAGTATTAGAGATTCTTTCGAGGGTACGATTTTTAATTCACTCTACTGTACTTACTTATGCTATAACGTCACGTGTGAAGTGGGTTCATTCTCGGTCACCAGCGCACTCTGGTATTTAGGCACTCTTAGGTTTAAATTTATTCACATTTTTCCACATCATCACACTTTATGGCTTCGTCACCTTCCAGGTGTTGGTCAGCGCAGCTTGATTCGGAGTCCTAGTGGACATTCCGGATCGAGGTGTGTCATGCGGGTCTAGGCAGGCGTCTAGGTTGGCTAGGTGAGCGCTTAAGCATGTCTACTCGCCCTTTCTTAATTTTCTAATGTCGAGCATTAATCTAGGCGATGACCAGCCACCTAATGCTTAGGCAAGGCTTAAGTGGCACTAAACAATAATTTTTAGAATAGTGCATAAAAAAAACTCTCATAAATCTAAGGTATAACACGAATAAGAAAGAGGAGGAGAGAGAAAGAGAAAAGTAGGAAGAAGGAGGAGGAGTAAAAGAGAGAGACGCATTGAAGAAAAAAAAAGAGAAATAAGGAGAAAGAAACTCATCTTTCAAACACAGAAAGGTAAAATTGGAAATGCAAAGGTAATTAGAAAAATAATTATGACATCACCAAGAAATTATTAGATGGTACACTACCATCACGTGGCATTGACAGCTGGTAGTACCCACCAATAAAATAAATGACACGTGGCATAATAATTATTAAATGAAAAACAATAGTTAGATTTTCATTTTCCCTAAAGTAGTTAGAGTTCTCTGCCAAAACCAATAAATGATACCCCTCATATTTCACCTCCTTTTCCGCCTCCATTTTCACTTGAATCAAATCTACAAACTGCAATCTTTCTTTTCCACCAAAACATAAAATTCCCTCCACCTCTCTTTTTGCTTGAATCTTATCTCTTTTTGCTTGAATTTTGCTTGAAATAAAATCCACAAACTGCAAAAATCAGAAATCTCAAGCTATAGGTACTGTAATTTTTTGCTTGAATTTTGTTTAATCTATTTGGATTCCAGGTTGTGTGAATTTTGGGGTTTGATTTAAGCAAGCTTGAATCTGACTGCAATTTCTTACTTGAATTTTATTTTACCCTTTTGGATTCTAGCTTGTGTAAATTTTGGGGGTCATCTTAGATTTCTCTGCTTATTCAATTAATTGGGGCACCAACTATGTCTCTGTTCTTATTTTCTTCTTAAACCTAAAATTTTTCTTTTATAAATGTTAGGGCAATACCAGTTTTCTAATTAACAAAGAGAGCTAGAGAGAAAGTAAGAGGTAGAGGTACTTGAAAGAATTACAAACGCGATACGAAAGACTTGAATGCTTTGTTTTATGGTTTGTGTCTTTTCTATTTTTTATCGATTCATAATACTTTGGCAATTTATGAGTTTAGTTAAACAAATTGGGTCTTAAAGTGTCTTTGTTTTTACTAATTCATTGTATTTGATTAAGTGGGATTTTGGTATGTACCAGGAACTAAAATAATGTCTATCAAGATATGATGAAACTCCAGGAAGTGCTCTATGTCCTTTGGGTATAATGTCCATGGATTGAAAGAGAACTTCTATGGGATTTTTTTTTCATTTGATTAAGCTTTTCTCTCTAATGTTTTTAGGGGGTGTCAGATTGCAAGAATGAAAGGCAGCTTGAATTGGATTTTGGGTTGTTTTAGATTATTACTTTCAGCTATAACTACCGTTCATTTTAGGTTAGATGTATAGAATTGGATTTGTTGTATCAAATGATACAATTTTGTAGTGACATACAAAGTGTTAATAGCCTTTTGCTATTGTAAGTACAAGTGAGCCTGTGGTTGTAAATTGTAATGAGAGAAAATTGTATCTTATACAACTCATCGTATGGTTGACATGATTTCTTATGCCTTGGCCTTTTGCTCCTTATATGCTTTATTCACTATGATATATTGCATGACAGTACATTACTCAAATGACAGGTGCACTCAATCTTAAAATGAAAAAGATATGGGAAAATAATTAAGAGCAAAGTTATTGTTTCCAGTGACTGTAATCTTAATGCTTCATACTCTCCAAAATAACAAAGTTGTCGAACAAATATTCACCACAGTATACATCCAGTTCAAAATCAAAATAAGTAAAGGCTTCTAATAAAAAAAAAAGATTTAAAGGTTTCCAACCCAAAAGATAGCATCTTCCACCCGTACCCAAAAATTATAAATCAAGTTTAGTAGTGAAAAATGTAACATCCCACATTACCCAGGGGTGAGGATCTTGTAAGCATTATATGTATATTCCAATCTCTACCTAGCACGAGGCCTTTTGGGAGCTTACTGGCTTCGGATTCCATAGGAACTTCGGGCGAGAGCGATCTTAGGTTGGGTGACCCACTGGGAAGTTCTCGTGTGAGTTCTCAGAAACAAAACCGTGAGGGTGTGGTCGAGGCCCAAGGCGAACAATATCGTGCTACGGTGGAGTCGAGCTCGAAATTTGGTGGGGGCCCGGGCCGGGATGTGACAATTTGGTATCAGAGCCAATCCCTGGCCGGAAGTGTGACGACGAGGACGTCGGGCCCCTAAGGGGGGGTGGATTGTAACATCTCACATCTCCCAGGAGTGAGGATCCTGTAAGCCTTATATGTATGTTCCCATCTCTGCCTAGCATGAAGCCTTTGGGAGCTCACTAGCTTCGGATTCCATCAGAACTCCAAAGTCAAGCGAGTTCGGGCGAGAGAAATCCTAGGATGGGTGACCCACTAGGAAATTCTCGTGTGAGTTCCCAGAAAAAAAAACCATAGGGCAAGGTCGGGGCCCAAAGTGGACAATATCGTGCTACGGTGGAGTCGAACCCGGAATGTGGTGGGGGCCCGAGCCGAGATGTGACAAAAAACAAGAAAAATCTTAGGGTGACTTAAAAGCATTTAAAAGTGATTTACTCTTATTATATTGTAGAAATTACTCCTTTGGATTATGTTGTCGCCCACAAACATATGGATGTGAACCTTGCATTACATATAGCTTCACATTAACTAGATGCTAAAAAAACAAATATGCCTTATGTGATAAACAAATCAAACCTGGAATTTAGTCTAAAGGGTTCGTGTGCGATAAAACTTGAGGATGAATTTTGCCACATGTATATAACAAATGCATAAAACAAACAAGAATTACCATATGTATTCATAAATTCCGCCTTCTCAAAGTAAATCGATCAATACCTGACGCGCCATAAGTTGACTATCTTGTAGCATACTTGAAAATGAAAAACTAGGCTGGATTACTTGATTTTATGGAGGCAATGTATGATTATTTGTTGTTAACAAGCTCACAGCTGGAAAGACCTGCTTAAAATTTATAAGATGATATGCAATTAGTCGAATTTTGAGAGATAAGAGCATTCATGGTTGTTTGATTAAGACGGGTCTTGAATTTGAACCTGATATGGTAGATGAAGGGAAACACCAAATGTAATATTGTGGAATGCCACGATCTTTGGTTATGCGAAGAATGGTTATGTTGAGGAAGTTGAAAAGAATTTTACGGGATAATTTCATTCTCTTCCATAATTCTGAATAAAAGGTATGTACAACCCTAGTTACAAAAGGAAACAAATAAAGGACATAATGTCTTTCCTAAAACATGACTCTAGTAATTACACAATATTTACATTCCTTTTCTCCTAAATATTAACTTATTCCAATACTCCCCCTTAAGTTGGAGCATAGATATTACTCATGCCCAACTTGACAAGCGAATCATCAAACCTTCTGCTACACACGGCATGGGTAAGTACATCTGCAAGTTGTTCGTCTGAGTTCACAAATGGTATTGACACAATCTTCTTCTCCAGCTTTTCTTTGATAAAATGTCTATCAACTTCAACATGTTTAGTCCTATCATGTTGTACTGGATTCTCAGATATCTCTCTAGCGGACTTATTATCACAATCCAACTTCATTGCCTCCCTTTGTTTAAAACTAAGACTCCCAAGTAACTTTCGCAGCCAAAGCATCTCACATACACCATGTGCCATTCCCCTATATTCAGCTTCGGCAGAAGACCGCGATACCACATTTTGCTTCTTGCTTCGCCACGTAACCAAATTACCTCCAACGAATGTGAAATACCCGGATGTAGACCTTCTATCAGTCACATCACCTGCCCAATCAGCGTCCGTAAATCCCTCGATCCTCATATGTCCATGACATTCATACAAACTCCTTTACCCGGAGCAGACTTCAAGTATGCCAAGATTCTCATTACTGCCTTCATATGATCCACACTCGGTGAGTGCATAAATTGCCTGACCACACTTACTGCATAAGCAATATCCAGACGAGTGTGAGATAGATAAATTAGCCTCCCCACCAATCTTTGATATCTACCTTTGTCAACCGGTTCCTGATTCAGATAAATCCCCAAACAATGTTTCTCAACGATAGGAGTGTCCACAGGTTTACACCCCAGCATGCATGTTTCCTTTAATAAATCCATAACATATTTACGTTAAGACAAGAAAATACCTCTAGATGACCGAGCAACTTCCACGCCAAGAAAGTATTTTAAATCTCCCAAATTCTTCATCTTGAACTTGGCAGCAAGGTTTTGTTCAAGCTTCATCATCTCTTCTGAATCATCACCAGTTATTATCATGTCATCTACATAAATTATTAAGGCAGTCACTTTACCACTTCTCCGTTTCACAAATAATGTATGATCCGAATGACTTTGATAATACCCAAACCTTCTCATAACTTGAGTAAATCTACCAAACCATGCACGAGGTGATTGCTTGAGTCCATAAAGTGACTTTCGCAATCTACATACTCCGGTTTTCCCTCCAGCATTGTACCCTGGAGGAAAATCCATATATACCTCTTCTTCCAAGTACCCATGAAGAAAGGCATTCTTCACATCAAACTGTTTTAGTGGCCAATTCAAGTTTGCAGCTAAAGAAATCAGAACACGTACCGTATTCATCTTCGCTACCGGAGAGAAAGTCTCCTGATAGTCAATACCATAGGTTTGAGTATAACCTTTTGCTACTAACCTTACTTTATATATGTCTACTGATCCATCTGCCTTATATTTAATTGTAAAGACCCATCTACATCCAACTAGCTTCTTACCTTTGGGTAGCTCCATTATCTCCCATGTACCATTTTTATGTAGTGCCAACATTTCCTCATCTATTGCAGCAGCCCATTTAGGATCCTTCAAGGCCTCCTCAACTCGGGTTGGTGCTTGGAGTGCTTCCACATTATTTACCCAAGCTTGACGCTCCGGTGTAAGGCTCGAGCATGACATAGTTAGCTATTGGATACTTCATTTTCCCTTCAGGAGAAAACCTATTAGGAGGAACACCACGATTTTGCCTTGGCGGCAACTGATATGTACTCATAATATTATCTTGATTAGTTACATGAGCATTAGTAGTACTTACCTTAGGAATATTCAGAGAAGACACATTGGGTCACACTATCGAGCTAGAGAGAGAGGGGGTAATGGGTTCGGCAGTTACTTGCTGCTGAAGCGGCGTACCTGGTTCGGCAATTCCTTGCTGCTGAAGCGGCGTAACTGGTTCGGCAATTCCTTTTCCTACATCACACTCGATAGCTCCTTCTCCTGCATCACACTCAGCTTCTTGCTGAGATCTACTAGTTCCACTCACGGTATCCCCATTCACGGCAAGTTCTTGCCGTGGCTTTTCACTAATCTCTTCACTAATGTTTGTATCACCAATTGTTCCCCCTGAGCCAAATATTTCCAACCACCCAAGATCACCACTCAAATTCTCCCCCTGGTGATCGGAAGGTGATGGAGTCGAAGCATAAAAGAACTCGGATTTGGAAAAGGTAACGTCCATAATTACATACATATGACGAGTTTCAGGGTGGTAGCACTTATACCTTTTCTGTTGAGGAGCAAATCCCAGAAAAACACACCGGTGAGCACATGGATCGAGCTTACTACGATGAATCTTGTGAATATGAACATAGGCTACACATCCAAATACACGAGGAGAAAGAGTGTTAGTAGACACCACTGGAGCATGTTGAGTGAGGACTTGAAGAGGTGTTCGAAAGTTAACCACCCGAGACGGCATACGGTTAATCACATATATTGCATAAGTGACAACTTCAAGCCAAAACATCTTAGGAACAGAGGCTCCAAGGAGTAGAGCACGTGCTGTTTCTAGGATATGGCGATTTTTCCTCTCAGCAACCCCATTTTGTTGCGGGGTATGAGGACAAGTTGTTTCATGGAGAATACCACGATCACGAAGAAACTCTGACAACGCAAAATTAATATACTCACCACCATTATCTAAACGGAGAACTTTAATCACAGACGAATACTATGTCTGAACCATCTGAGAGAAAGATCGAAATACCATACCAACATCACTTTTATTTTTCAACACATAGAGCCAAGTCATACGGGTGCAATCATCAACAAACGTAACAAACCATTTAATGCCAGAAGAAGTAACAACTGGAGAAGGCCCCCAAACATCAGAATGCACAAGTTCAAACGGCAAAGATCTTTTATTCATACTAGGAGGAAACGAAGCACGATGGCTCTTAGCAAGAATACACACTTCACAATGTAAGTCTGATTCATTTATTCCACTAAATAGACTAGGCAACATATGTCGTAAATACCCAAAAGATGCATGCCCTAACCGATGATGCAATAACCATACTTCTTGTAACTTACGAGAATGAGACGCTCGAACCGCATTAGCCCTACCAGGAACGACGTCATCCATATAGTATAACCCTTATCTCTTAGTGCCACACCCAATTATCTCCTTGGTCTGAATATCCTGAAGTAGACAAAAGGACGGATACATTAGAACAACACAATCCAATTGTTCAATAACTTGTGGTATTGATAATAAA